TCCGGCGGCCTAAGACGCTGAGACTCCAAAGGCAGCCCAAATACCCCCGGAAGAGTGCCCCCAGGAGAAACAAGCTTGACCACTATGCCATCATCAAATTTCCCCTGACCGCTGAGTCAGCTATGAAAAAGACAGAAGGTAACAACACACTTGTGTTCACTGTGGATGTCAAGGCCAATAAGCACCAAATTAAACAAGCTGTAAAGAAGCTCTATGACACTGGCATGGCCAAGGTCAACACTTTGATTAGGCCTGATGGAGAGAAGAAGGCCTATCTTTGGCTCCTGACTATGATGCTTTGGATGTTGCCAACAAAATTGGGATCATCTAAACTGAGTCCAGCTGGCTAATTCTAAATATAAATTTTTCTCACACACTCACACACAAAAAAGAAATAAAGAGCAAGTTTGTCCCTTTTGATTTTGACTCCAGCTCTTTGCATATTTTGTTATAATACTTTGCTTTGTCTTCCCAAGCTGTTCTTTGAAATCTTCTGTTCAGCTCCTTTAGTTCTTTATTTCTTCCCTTTATTTGGGCTTTTTTGGTGCTCGAGTACAATATAGAGTCTCTTCTGACATCCGTCTTGATCTTTTCTTTCTCCTCTGTCTTTGTAATGACTTTTTGCATTTTTCATGGACGATATTCTTGATATCCTCCCACAGCTTGTCTGGTCTTCACTCATTAGTATTCAAGGCCTCAAATCTGTCCCTGAGAGGCATTTAAATTCTGGTAGGATAGACTCAAGGTCAGACTTTGGTTCTTGTGAATTTTATTTTCTTTAGCTTTAGTTTGAACTTGCTTATGAGTAGTTGATGGTCTTTTCCACAATCTGCACCTGGCCTAGTTCTCACAGCTGATATTAAACTTCTCCATCGATTCCCCACCCCCCACAGATGTAGTCAGTCTGATTCCTATGTAGACCATCAGGTGAAGTCCGTGTGTATAGGCACTATGTTACTTCTGGAAGGTATTTGCAATGAACTGTTCATTGATTGTGCAAAATTATATCATTCTATCTCCAGCTTCATTTCTGTCACCAAGTCTATGCTTGCAGACTACTGATCGATCCTTCTTTCCTGTTCCCAACTTTTGCATTCCAGTCACCCATTCTTATCAAAGCATTAGCTAAGGCTTATTATCAGTACTTTCCTTCCTGGTAAGAGAAAAAAGAGGGGAAGAGCCTTGGTTCAGGTCACACAGGAAGTGGCAAAAGAGGACTCTGTTATTCCCTCTTTTCTGCTATCTACCAACCAACGGACCTGAATACCACATGGGTTATGTGCTCAGTCTGAGTCTAGTGCTGAGAGAAGAGTTGGCTTCTGCTTTCCTGGCACTCAGAATTGGTTCAGGAAAACAGGACTCATCCATGCACTTGGAGACCTATAGACTCTGACTATGGTGGTGCCTCATCTTAAGGGAAGAAATGGAGGTGGTTTCAGGATAGCTAAATGCCTTGCCCCAGAAAATGGTGGAGAGTTGTATCAAGCCTCTTCTTTCTCAATTAAATGCTATTTGCAGCCTAGTGCGTAACTACTACATACATGGGATGAGATCAAGGGCTTTGGAAAGTCAGAGTAAAAAAGGAATGATCTCTTAATTCTGCAAATGTTTGATCAGGAGCAAGGCTTTGTGCCTGATGCTGGCAACACAGGGAAGGCCAGCTCTCATTTTCCAAGCAGCTCAGTGTAAAAGACATGACCAGACTGCTGGGGAAGCCCAGGAAAGGGGCTCAGCCTGGTGGGCATTAAAAAAGGCTTCTCAGCAGAGGAGGCACAGCTGAGGCTTTGCACAAGAGCAGATAACATCTCTCCCCAGCTTCCTGCAGGCTTTAAGAGCACATGCAATGTAGTCAGGATGATCTCCAACCACTTCACTTGTTCTGTTTTAGCCCTTCATGGTGACATCCTGCTCCATCTCCAACCTTCTATGCTCTCTTAGCCTTAGGGCCCCCCTTGATCCTGTTTCTGCACCTCTCCTTTGGTGATGAGTTGGGAGACAGCCCCCTTTACTAAGCCTCCCTGATACCCTAAGCCTGCCAGATGTTCCTTCTCTGCATTGCTACATTTCTTTGGGTTCACCACGTGACATTTCACACTCTATATTGTCACCACCTACCTTGTTGTCCTTTCCTACTATAGGGTAAGCAACTTGAGTGCAGACTGAGGCTCCTCGTGCCCAGCATAAAGCCTGATAATAGAAGTTGTTCACTGTTAAATTAATGGAGTATGTTGCCCTGGTGCTTCTCCCAGGTTGTCTTACTGTCCCAAATCAAGTCTCTGAACTGCATCAGACTGATTTGTCCTCCAAAGGAGGCTTCTCAGAGGAAAGCTCAACAACCCAATCCTTCAACACACCCAGCAGCTACCCAAACCTTACATTCCTTCATTTACTCTCACGAGCCTCCTTTTGTTAACAAACTCTATATTAATGTCTGCCTAGGGCCAGACCTTCTAAGTGCTGACTTGGGAACACAGAGAAGAACAAAACCCAGGCCCCCACCTTCAAGGAGTTCAGAGAGAGCCATGTTGGAGAGGCAGACATGTGAACAACTTGAATGTCACGTGGCTCGTGATGTGTTGACGTGCGTCCTCATTGTGGTGCACAGGGAAAGGAGTGACTAGTGGGGAGTGGAGAGCAGGGGTTTTCACTAGTACTGTGCCACTCATGGGGGTCTCAGAGGATAAACAACAAGTGGGATGGGGGTGTGTTTCAGGAAAACGGAATTGCAAGTGCCAAAGCAGCTGAGGAAGCTGAAACTCACTCAGGTGGTTGCGGAGGACTTCTACAGGGGCCACAGTACGGGACGCCCGTCTTGTGTGATCTTTGACTTGCAGGCAGTGGGGAGGTAGTGTCGTGTGCGGTAAGGTAGTGTTCGAGTTACTCCAAGAAACTAAAGTGAAAGGGAAAAACTGAAGAAAAGTAGCCATGAAGCTAGTAAGTGACATCAGGGAGGTGACAGCAAGGAGGCACTACAGAACACTGGGACTGTTAGGCTGCAGGAGCGCAGGAGAAGAGTGGAAATGAATGGCGCTGAGACAACCCTAGCGGAAGGAAGCCAGGGGCGCAGCACTGGAGTCAAACCATCTCGGCGGACCAACTAGTAAGCAGCGAACGAGACTCCTTTCCGTCCTCACCCCAACCCCACACCTCCTTTCTTCTCTAGAGGCCAAAGTCCATTCCCCAAGGGCCTTTTACAGGACGCTGTTCCGCCAGAGCCCGCACCCACATTCTTCACCACCCCTTCGCCTACCCTCGCCCCGCTACTCACCCACATTCCTTCCCACTCCCACCCCCGGGCTACCCTCGCCCCGCTGGACTCCAGAGCCACTTAGGGGATCAGCACGAAGCAATGCTGCCTTCCGCCCCGTGGCTTACCTGGGGGGAAGGCATTATTAGGTGGAGGTTTGGTGGTCACACTTCTTCCCCACTTCCTGTGCGGTGGAGCGGCACGGCCCAGGCCAGGAGAGGTCCCGCACTGGCGCCCAGCTTTGTGCCCCCCAACTCTTAGCTCACAATCACAGTAGCGAGGGAGGGGCTGTGGGGCTCTGGTTTGGAAGAGGGACCCAATATCCAGGTCTCAGTTTCCCTAGGTCCCCTAGTTAGGGGGCGTGGAGAGGAAGAAGGATGTTTGGAAGTGAGAGGAGGGGACTTCGATCTCCAATTCGCAGGTGAAGAGACCTGAGGCTCTGTGCGGCTTCCTACCCGTGCAATCCCGATTTCAGTCTGTAGGCTCAGAAGCTTTTTGGGGGTGAGGCAGGGCAAGTGGGGCTGTAGATGGATGTGCTGACCCAGAATGTGAAGCAACTCTGGAACGTAAATGAGGTTGTATCATCTGCATAATGTAGGTTGTTGACAAATCTTCCACTTATTCTGATGCCACATTCTTCATCATACAGTACAGCTTCTCAAATTATTTGCTCAGCATACAGACTGAATAAGTATGGAGAAAGGATACAGTGCTGACACACACTTTCCTTGATTTTAAACCCTGTGGCTTTCCCTTGCTCTGTTCAGACAACAGCCTTTTGGTCTAGGTGCAAACGTCACATGAGCAGGGTGCTCTGGTGGCATAGGAAAACCTGCTCATCCAAAGGCAAGAACACTTCTGTAGTGGTTCGATCCACCAGCAGCAGCTCCATGTGAGAAAGACAGGCAATCTCCTCCCATGGGACTTACAACCTCCAAAAACCTACTGGTGGGTCAGATATGAATCGATTCATTTGTATAATGAGGTGTTGTAGTCTGTAGGAAGTTGCTCTACTAATCTAAGGCCATGCTCCTCTGGCAGCTCTGCAGAAGTGATGAGCAATATCCTCTCATGTGACGTATAACCGCAGAAGCCCAATGAAGGGATAGATACAGTCCCAACTGAATGGCAGTGAGACATGTTGTTGTTATGTGCCATTGAGTCACCTGCGACTCATAGCGACCCTATGTACAACAGCCCTAAACCTTGCTCTATCCTGTGCCCATCTCACTGTCTCTGACACACCCACCTCAATCACCCCAGTCACTGAATCAATCCATCTCATCCAGGGTCTTCCTCTCCTGCGCTGTCCCTCCACCTTCCAAGGATGACGTTCCTCTCCAAGGACTGGTCCCCTTCTTGCATCATGTGCAAAGCGTGTCAGACGAAGCTTCAGAATTCTTGCTTCCAAGGAGCAATCTGATCTCACCCTCTCTAGAACAAACTTATTTGTTCTCCTAGCCATGCATGGATATATTCAATCCTCTAGCACCAAAGCTCAAATTAAAGCTCAAAGGCTTTAATTCTCCTTCTATCATCCCTAGTCATTGTCCAGGTATCTGACACATAGCACCTTAGTCTCCAGATGACATTGTTGCCCTTCAGTATTTTGGAGAGGTCTCTGACAGCAGACTTTCCCAATGCAATCTATCTTTTAATTTCCTGGCTGCTAGTACCAAGAGTGTTGATTGTGGAGCCAAGCAAACTGAAGCTCTTAACAATCTCTTCTCCATCTATCACGATGCTGCCAAACAGCCCAGTGGTGAGAATCTTTGTCTTCTTGATGTTGAGCTTCAATCCGTATTGAAGGCTGCAGTCCTTGATCCTCTGCAGCAAGTGCTTCAGGTCCTCCTCAGTTTCAGCAAGCAGGGTTGTGTCATTCATAAGACTAGACAAAATTTATATCTGTAGCTTGCATTAAATTTCTACTAGGTGCATTGGTCTAGATAATGTGCAAGATCCAAATCAGTGTAAAGCTACAGGTATCCAGGTGTCTATTCATCTATCCATTCCCTATTTGAATTCTGTTACTATTAGGTGTTTTCCAGTCTGCTCTGATTCACAGGGACACTGTGCACAACAAATCAAAACTCTGCCCAATCAGGCACCATCACCCAATCTCTGCTGTGCTAAAACCCATTGTTCAACAGAGACTGTGTGTGACACTGTGTCAGACCATTTTACTGAGGGTCTTCCTTTCCTTCATTGACTTTTCTAAGCATGATATCCTTTCCCGAGGAATGGCCCCTCCTGACAACATGCTCTAAGTATTTAAGAGGAAGTCTCTCCATTCTCACTTCTTGGGTAAGAAGTTGCACTGCCAGCCCAAGGTATGTGGTTTGAACCCTCCAGTTGCTCCATGCAAGAAGGGTGGACAGTCTCCTCCCATGTGATTTACTGCGTCTGAAAACCTACTGGAGAGTCTGTTATGAGTTGGCTCTGACTTGACAGAACAAAAGGAAAAGGGGCACTCCAGCTGCATTTCTTCCTAGAAAGATTTGTTCATTCTTTTAGAAGTCCATAGAATATTCAATGTTTTGCCAGTATCACAATTTAAAAGCATCAACTCTTGTATCTTCTGTATTCATTATCCAACTTTTATTATTATTATTATTAGAGTGAGGATTTATTAGGCAATTTTGCAAAACTGGGCACTCAAACCTACTAGGCCACCAGATCTTCCTGTTTGATTTCTTGAATGTTCCTGCTTCCATGGGTGTTGATTGTTGATCCAAATAAAAATAAATCCTTGCCACCTTAATCTCGTTTATCCATTTATCATCATGTGGCCCGTCAGTTTAGTTGTAAGGATTTTTATTTTCTTGATGTTGAGGAATAATCCATACTGAAGGCTGGAGTCTTTGATCTTCTTTTGTAAGTGCTTCAAGTTCTCTTCACTTGCAGCAAGCCAGATCAGTTACGTAACTTGCTCACTGTAAATGAGTGGACTGACTCAGTGACCTTCCATCACATTTCTAAGGTTATGTATTTTAACAGGAGGTGAGTGGTAGATGGAACCTCTGGAGAAGAGCAGCCTTTTGGCTGGCAGCACAAGCTGTGCACTACACCACCAGAGCTCCTTGTTGGCTGTCAGGAAACTCAAACTCATTGCATGGAGTTGGCACCAACTCATAGCTGATCCTCTGGCAGGTTTTCAAAGGCTGTAAATTTCATGAGGGGAGATTGTTCATCTTTCTCCTCAGAAACTGCTGGTGGATTTGAACCACCAGAGAGTTGTTGCCTTTGGGTTCGCAGTACAATGCCCTACAAATGGCACCACCAAAGCTCCCTGTTGGTTATGTAGCAAGTATTATTTTAAGTGCTTGGAATACAGCAGTATAAAAAGGACAGACACAAGTTCTTTCCATCACAGAGCTTATACTCAAGTGCGGAGAAGAAGCAGTATATAAATGTTTGGCTATGGTAAACATTATGAAAAACACCAAGCAGAACAAGAAGTAATTTTTGAGGTGAGAGGAGCTGGCATTTCCAGTAGAAGTGTTATTTGAGCAGAGATCTAAATTATAAGGTACTGTGGTGAAGAGATTGAGATTGTTAACAGCTTCAGTTTGCTTAGCTCCACAATCAACACTCTTGGCACCAGCAGCAAAAGATTGCTTTGGGAAAATCTGCTGTCAAGGACCTCTTCAGAGTA